ATTAATGTAATTATTATCATTATAATCACTAATCTGAAAGTAATGATAAAAACTGCAACAAAAATTCACCGAACGAATTAAAAAGAAAAAAAAATCATGTGGTTTCCGAGAGACCGTAGTATGAGGCGACACTTAATGAGTCTAAGAAAACGTGAGCTTTATAGTGTTTTATTCTTCATAAGGAATGAGCTTTCTTACTGACGCATACACAAGGGGGGAGGGGGTTATTATTGCATATATATCGTATTAATAGGCTTATCTAAGGCCTATCTAATGGCAGTTTTCAATGATCTACCGCATGACAGTTTTTAAAGATCTATTTAATGATTTTTTGATAATGATGACAAAACAGATATTCCAACCAAATGAACCGATAGATATACAGAACAGGTTAATGAAATGTATAAATGAAAATGAACAAATATGTAAAAATATAGGCCTCTTAAGGAAAGTCAAGCATTTTATTATAAGTGACATTGGTAAAATAATGGCGATATTTGGCAACGGACTGATGACAATGGCGGCACAATTGATGATTCTTCGATTACTGATGAATTGATGGTGATATTAAATTGACAGTTAACCGGTTGGTGATGATTATCTGTTAATTAGTAAGCAGTTGATAATAATTATTTGACATTGACAGCTTGGCAATTACTTATTACGCTATTCAGACACGTTAAACTCACTTAATTATCATCAACCTCTTAATTGCACCCCCCCCCTCCCCCCAATTATGAAACATTAATAGCAGAATAAAAAAAACAGACAGTAGGTTTATATTAGTAAACGATGATGACGAACATTTAATGATATGTATAGATCACCCTTAGTTACATACATGTGTACAAGCTTCATACACATCACGTCATAATTAATGTTAAACCTTACCATAATAATTTATTTCTACAGACACATTTCAGGTAATAATTCCCATGCAGGCGAAAGAAATAATCAGAAAATCACCTGATAATATATTTCTCTTTCATTTTATTTTATTTATTCTTTTTTTTTCTTTTTTAGGAGATAACAAATACTCATTCCGCTGGTACCGTACCTTGTTCTTCATGTTCTTCACACTAAGAATAGAACAGATTTGGCTTTTGTTATAGATCTTGTACACGTCTCGGGGTCTGATATCACGTGGTCAATAACATGCCCAGATTTATAAGGCTTATTCATATTAATTTATAACGCAAAGTCATACTGAGTCATACTCGTGTGTATTCATGTTCACAAGTCTCAGCATACTCACTCATATTTCGATTTATACTTTAGTTATTCATTTTCCTACTCATAACCCATCCATGCCCGCACTCAGTGATTAAAGTAAGAAATGTATCCTCATATTTAGCTATTCACTCACGATCATTTGTCCATACTCACAGTTATTAATTCACACTCATAATTATATATGTTCACACTTATAACTTTAATATTCACATTAAACCTAGTTATATCTTATTTTTATTATCATCATTATTGTTATTATTACCATTACTCTGTCTCATTCTCAACATAGAGCCAAATCACGTCCAAGATCACGTCCTTAAACAATAACAAACAGAAAAGCCACGACACACAAGAAGGGGGAAAATCTAAGGTCTACACACACCACAAGTCAAAATCGAATTTAAATCTTAAAAAAAGCAAGTTGATTATATCCTTATATCAACTTGTTTTTTTTTTCTCTCTCTCTCTCTTTCCCATAATGCTGGATGCGAAACTGGGATTTTTTTTCCTTTTTTCGAGTGAAAGAGAACGTCAGCTTGTCCCTCTGGTGTTGGGTTTGGAAAGCGTTGAGTGAAAGGACGAGAAAGATATATATAAATAGAAAGACATATGGATAGATAAATAGACAGACAGATAGATATATAGATAGGTAGATAGAAAGATAGATAGACAGATAGGAAAAGAGAGAGAAACAGAGAGAGAGAGAGAGAGAAAGATAGCTAGCTAGCTAGCTAGCTAGCTAGATAAATAGATAGAGATAGAGGGAGAGAGGAAGAGAGGGAGAGAGGGAGAGGGAGAGGGAGAGAAGAGAGAGAGAGAGAGAGAGAGAGAGAGAGAGAGAGAGAGAGAGAGAGAGAGAGAGAGAGAGAGAGAGAGAGAGAGAGAGAGAGAGAGATAGGGGGGGGGGGAGGGAGAGGGAGAGGAAGATGGAGAGGGAGGGAAAGAGAGAGAGAGAGAGAGAGAGAGAGAGAGAGAGAGAGAGAGAGAGAGAGAGAGAGAGAGAGAGAGAGAGAGAGAGAGAGAGAGAGAGAGAGAGAGGGAGACAAGAAGGCGAAACAGAGAGCGAAAAAATAAGAAAGAGGAGATAAATCGATAAAGAATGAGACAAAAAAGAAAAAAAAATGAAGGCAGAAAAATACATGAAGTACTGTGTGAGAATAAAAATAAATGAAAGTTTCACAAGCAGCAGATGATGATACTTGTAACAAATCCAATCGATTTGACCTTTAAAAAAAAACGCAAAATAGATTCAAAATAAATAAATTTAACGTTTAGATAATTAAATGTAATAGAATCTTGTAATACAGGATATTTAACCCTCCCTCCATTCTCGCCCCTCCCTCTACCTCCCCCTCTCCCCCCCCCCTCCCTTTCTGCCACCCTCTACCATCATCTGTCACTCGTAAAACTCGCATGAAAAAGGGTGTGAAGAAACGACCACGAAGTAAAGTGAGGGTGAGAGGAGAAAAGGAATAAGAAAAAAGGTAAAAGCCGGCCTGATTGCGCATTCAAAGCCAACGTCAGACTCTCTCGGTCTTGAATTTCTCAAAGCAAAATTTTCTACTCTCGCTATGGCAACATCAAACCACTTCCTGTACAGTGGAATTCTTGCCGCTAACAGACAACAAACAACAAACAACAACAACAACAACGAGAATCCTCCAGTCATTTTTTTTTTCTATTTTCATCTTTATGTATTTTTTCTTTTTTCTTTGCATCTATCTTCATCCCTGAATTTCTAACAGACACGAACTGGAGTATATACAATCTTTTTTCTCTCTAATTATAAATACATAAATTGTTGAATAGATAAGTAAATAATAGCATGCAATAAATTTAAAATCTTACCACGTCCAGCCCCTGGAAAATAATGCAAAACATCATGAAAATGCGCGTCTTCTGCAACACTGGAAAAGGTTTAAAGGTGTTACGTAAAGAAAAAAAAAGTAATGAAAAAAAGGTGCAGATTTTATTGCATTCAAGTGATGTCATTCTTCTTTTATTTTCTATATTTATTTTATTGTTTTTTTTTCTACTTTGTCTACTTAAAAGCTTTTATTTTTGGAATCTACAGAAAAATATGTATTTTAAGTTTTAAAATCTACTGAGCAGTTTTTTTTTTATTCAGGATCTCAGGAAAAAGTTTATAGTGTGTTTTAGTTTAACATGCAGGTGTTTCAAATTAATATAAAAAATATATGAAATTCTTATTTCTATTTATGTAAAAAAAAGAATTTTATTTAATCGTCTATAAAAGCAACATCTTATATAAAAATAATAATATGGAAAATGATGATTTGGTGCTAGAAAGCTTTAGCCATGTTAGTGTTGTAAAAAAAAACTCTTAGATAAATCTAATTCTAACTAGAAAAAAAATAACCTTTTCATATATCATCGCACGTTCTGTTAGTGTTGTGGCAGACGATATGTTGTGAAAAAGGCTGGTATAAAACTAAAAATGCACTGCAATGCACAACTGTACCACGTGATGTGATGCAGTGTTGAGCTGTTCTACATGTACTGTGATTTACTACGATTATATTTCAGTGTATTAGAGTCCTCACATTGCCTCTTCCTTTTAATGATAGATTAACAGATAAATAAATAGAACAGCTATGTATCTAAAAGTAAGAAAAAACTACTTTATTAATGGCGTCTCACTATCATAGTCCACTGGTGTCTTACATTATTACAGCATATTACATCGTGGGTAAACTATTTCTTTAAAGTAATGACCTACATTTTATATACATCTACTAAAGGGTTAAGGATATACTCTATACTGTACAGTATATACATTATTAACATATACAGTACAACGTTGTTAATAAATACAATCTTACAACTTGGGCGACAGAATGTTCACATAACAGTAAACTTTCGAAGGTGTTATATCTTCCGTCACTATGCATAACTATACAGCTAATCAAAACCATAGCAATGCCACTTATAACAGACTAGATCCCAGAAAAACCACTAGTCTTATGAAATCCCCTTTATGGCACGATTCAATAGAGTTTCTTAAATAGATAAGGTAGTCAGAGAGTCAATTAACGGTGTATATCACCATCTCCCGCACACTTGCAAAATGCAGAATACTAGCAACGGCAATATTTGTAGCGACTATTCTGATGGATACTTAGATGAAACCGAAAGAAAAGGCACCCTAAATAGTGTTGCCTTGTACGGGTGTACATCATACAGGATGTAGTGCAACAATAACAAGAAAAAATAATGATAATGTTAACAATAATAATAACTATAATAATGATAATAATAATGATGATAATAATAACGATAAAAATAATAATTAGAATACTAACAGCGATAATAATAATGATATTGATAATAATAAAAATAATAATTCTAATAATGATAATGATAACAATATAAATAATGATGGTGATGATGATGATAATGAAATTGATAATGATGATAATAATAGTAAAAAAAACAAAAAAACAAAGAAGGTAACAATTATAATGATAACATTAATGATAATAATAATGAAATAAATCAAAATAATAATGATAATAATGACAACAAAAATATCATACATTAATAAATGACAAAATAATAATAAAAACAAAGATGACAATAATAACAACAACAGTAATAATGATAATGATAGTAATAATAATAAAAGAATAAGAATAACAATGATATTAATAACCGAACAGTTCCCTTAAACAAATACTTTAGAACAGTTTCCGCAAACCCACTTCGCTGTTAACCTTTATATTTATAGCGACCTTCTTATATGCATTCTACCCATGACTTTTTGTAGCTTATTTAGGCAATGGGACGCTGCTAGATCTCTATCAAAATCATATCAATATCAATAAGTAGAAGTGTTGATTTGCATGTGAAATAAAAAAGACCTGGAGTTTATCTAGGTCAGTGTACTGTGCAAAGATTAAGTGCAAAATGGACCTGTTCCTATGGCTTGGAGAAATAATACGAAGGTAGGAATAGTATGGAACATTAGTGTGTTAATACGCTGTAGAGTATTAATGTGGAACAAGGATAGGCTATATCGGGTGATATAACAAAGGGAAATTATACATCCTTGATGAGACCATTCTCCGATGCAGCATTTTTGTAGAAAGTTATTTCGTGCTGTGAAAGTGCAGAGAAAATACGCTACACCACAAAAGGCTATCATGATACAGTGCAGCAAAACACAGTGTTTTAAAAGAAAAAATAAAAGAGTGTATACAGATACAATTCGCCTCCCTACATCTACTCCACCTACGAGTACAAAGCCAAAGCATCTAATAACAACTCCATTCGAAGCACCCAACCCACGCCCCAATCCACGCCAATCCTCGCTCCTCCTCACCTCCTCCTTCGCCACCAGCTGGATCTTCTCGAGGATCTCCGCCTTCTCCTCGTTCGAATAGAGGTTCGGCAAGTCCCCCGTGTTGAGGAGGGTGTTCACGTCCTCGACGAAGGCCTCGTCCTTGATCTGGGTGTCCGTCAGGAGGAACACGGTGGGACGCCCCTCGCCGCCCGCCTTCATGAGGGCGCGCTTGATGTCCTCGCGCCACTCCGCCACGCCGTAGCCCTTCGTCGCCTTGATCTGGGGGCGGGGAGGAGGGGAGGGATGAGAGAGAGTGAGGGGGGAGAGGGGGAGACTGGGGGCAAGGGAGAAGGGGGGAGGGTAGAAGGAGAGAGAGGGAGAGGGTAGGAGGGAGAGGGATGAATAAAATTAGGAAGGACCTAAAGGAAGATGGAGGGAGGAGGAATTGAGATGGCGGGGGGAGGTTGAGAGAGAGAGAGAGATGAAGGGAGGAAGGGAGGGAGGGCAGTAGAGAGAGAGAGAGAGAGAGAGAGAGAGAGAGAGAGAGAGAGAGAGAGAGAGAGAGAGAGAGAGAGAGAGAGAGAGAGAGAGAGAGAGAGAGAGAGAGAGTGAGACATACGCTCATATTCAGAGACACTTGAAACACCTTAAACAGAGACCCAGACCGGCATCTCGCGCCTGTCAGCCAATCACCGCCGAGCTGCCTCGCGTCGTGGTGCCGGACCTCCACCAGAAAAGAGTCTCTGAATATGAGCTAGAGACAAACAGACACACATACAGCAAAATCAGAGACAATCAAATACACGGACCGAAAGCTACCCCCCCGCCCCCCTCTTCTTACCTGGAACAGATCGTAATTGGCCATGAACGTGGCCAGCTTCGTCGCGCTCTGCCGGCCCGACCCCGCGAAGCCGATGAGGAGCGCGTGGCCAGAGTCCTGCTTCAGGATCCTGCTGAGGCGCGCCACGTGCTGGATCACGTAGTGAAACATGACCAGGGACATGCTCGACTTGCTGACGGTGTTGTGCTCCTCCAGGTAGTTCTCCGTCATCTGGGTCAGGTCGCTCATGCTCTGGATCTGACGGAGGGGGGGGTGGGGAAGTGAGTTTCGACTTTTTCTTCTTTTGGGGGGCAGATTCCTTATTATCCTCATTATCATTAGATTATTCATTTTGTTTTGTTTCTTTCTCTTGTCATGGAATAAAATAATATCTGAAATTGTATTTTCCTTTATGTTTGTATTGCAAAGGCGAAGGTGATTGATTCATATAGGTATCTATCTATATATCTCTCTGTGTGCTCATGTATCTTTCTGCTCATCTATATATGCATAAGTACATGTAAACACGCACGCACGCATACACACACACACACACACACACACACACACACACACACACACACACACACACACGCACACACGCACACACACACACGCACACACGCACACACACGCACGCACGCACACATGCACACACGCGCACACACACACACACACACACACACACACACACACACACACGCGCGCGAGCGCGCGAGCGCACGCATACACGCACACACGCACACACATGCACACACCCACACACACACACACGCGCACACACACACACACACAATCAGGTAATTAATTAATGAATATCTCCACTGCCTCACCTCATCATAAATCTTGGTTTCGGTGTCGGGAATCATGAAATCATAACGAAACACAAGAATAACGCAATTATAAGAATAAACACAATGAAGTAATCAATCTAACCACTAATTAATAATTAATCACTAATCAACCTCGTCATAAGTCTTCGTCTCAGCGTCAGGAATCATGAAATCTCCGAAGATAAGGCGGCTGAGGTGTTCGGGCGTGACCTCGACTTCCCCTTCGGTGACGATGTGGCCCAACACGTGTCTCAGCTTCTGTCCGAACACCGACTCCGCCACCTCGCGCACGATGCCCAGGAATTTTTGTCTGCGGTGGAAGCGGTTTTTTAATGTTTTATTTTTCATTGTTTCAGTTGTGTTCATGTTTTAGGGTCGTTGTTTTCATTTTTTTAATGTTTTAGGTTCGTTGTTCACTGGTTCACTGGTTTGTGTTGTGTTTTTTTTAATTCTTGTTTGTTTATTTTTTAGAAAGAAAGACACTAGAAACATTAAACTTAATTTGAGTATAGTGATTATCTCACTGACCAAAATAATCACACTTTCATTTACGTAATCTTAGCTCTATCAGAAAACCTTCTCAAACCAAAAAACAAAGCTATTGACAATTAATCCAACCCCCATCTCCCGAAACAAGACAACGCAAACCATAATGACACATACAAGAGAAAATAAAATCTAAAATGACTTGTCAGCGTAATCTAAAAAAATCTAAAAGACCTTGTCGCGGCTCCCTTCCTCACCGATCCTCGTCGTCGCAGAGTCTGTCGTGGAAGACCCTGTAGACTTCGTGGAGCCAGAGTCGCACCAGCTTCTCCGAGGAACTGAGGGCGCTGTTGGGCACGAGGAGGATGCCCGAGACGACGCGGGAGAAGTCGCGGAGGTTGAAGACGTAGTGGCTCTTGGCGGGCGTCGGCAGGAAGGTCGCGGTGGTGCGCTTGTACACCTGCCGCGTCGCCTCCACCACGGCCTGCGGGAGGAGGAAGGAGGGAGAGGGAGGTTTTCGGGTGGAAAGGGATAAGTTCAGGGATTTTGTTTGAGGGTATTTCTCTGTCGCGAAGGATTTTTTGGGGGGCGGGAAAGCGGATGTATCGACATCGTTGTGTGGCGGAAAACGATTCTTTGGAAATTAATTCAGATGGAAGCTCATCCATCAAGGGCGCTTTCAAACATTAATTCAAGCTTATGCATTAACCATCAGAAAATAATATTAGAATGACGAGCTCGAGAAAATCACGTAAACCACAATATCCACTCGTAACTAACACGCCCTATCCCTGAATAAAAATCCACGCCCTCGTCCCTGATCCGCCCACCTTGTCGAGGCTCTGCATGGCCGCGTCCTCGTGCTGCGAGAAGTGCCACTTGACGATTGAGCCGTAGATCTTGTTGAGCGTCGCGTCGTCGAACTCGTCGATGCAGATCACGTTGAGATGCCGCGTGAACCTCCCGCAGATGGTGTTGCGGCCGGAGCTCGGGAGACCCATGGCGCCCACGAATAACTGCAAGGAGGGTCATTCTTTATAATCACGTGATATACAGATTCGTAAATGCAGCGATGAGAATGCTGGACTAAAATCGTAGCTTCTATCGACTTCACAACAACGTAAGCACAACAAGTTGAAACGCAACCACATTGCAAATCATCACCAACATTACCACTTAATGTAAACTGAACCCCCCTCACCTCCCCTCTCTCTCGACATCCCCCAAACCCAGTGGCAAAACCCCCAAACGAAACCAACTCCAAAGTCCCGACTCCACAACCACTTAAGAACACCAAACTGACCCACAACCACGATAAGAAAAAAAAAAATCCCCCAACATCAAGACCAAACACAGCCTAAGATAAAAAAAAGAGAAATAAAAGAAAAAAACGCAATCGCCCTCAACCCACCGAATCCACGAGCTCAATCTTGGACGTGTCCTTCTTGTCGTAGAAGTGCTTGTGGTCGAGCCACTGCCGCAGGAACTCGATCGGAGGCTGCGCGCCGTACGGCTCCTTCTGCGGCATGTTCACGTCGTCGATGAACACCACGTACTTCCTGCCCATGGCCGGCCCGAACACGCCCTTCCTCCGCCTGGGGGAGGGAGACGAGGGCGGGGATGGAGGAATATCTTAAGGGCAGATACAGGTGTAGAGGTTTGCGCAACAGGAGAATATTTCGCTGCCAGGATGGGATTTAGGACTGAATGAGGGAAATGTGCATAACGTTTGCCGAAATGATAGAGATTGTAATGAGGCTTGTATTGATTAAAATCTTTTGCTAAAGGAAAGCAAGGGAGAAAAAACAAGAAACATTATAATTCATCCAATATGTCAGCAGATTTCTCAAATCAGTATTGTCACTACTATTCATTATCATAATCTTCTTCACCCTCATTCGCATCATCCCCGTTATCTGTTAGGGTCATCAGTGTCACCACAATCTCATCAGCATAAGCGAAGCACAATCACCATCATTAACGGATGGAGGAATATCTTAAGGGCAGATACAGGTGTAGAGGTTTGCGTAACAGGAGAATATTTCGCTGCCAGGATGGGATTTAGGACTGAATGAAGGAAATGTGCATAACGTTTGCCGAAATGATAGAGATTGTAATGAGGCTTGTATTGATTAAAATCTTTTGCTAAGGGAAAGCAAGGGAGAAAAAACAAGAAACAGAAGAAACATTATAATTCATCCAATATGTCAGCAGATTTCTCAAATCAGTATTGTCACTACTATTAATTATCATAATCTTCTTCACCCTCATTCGCATCATCCCCGTTATCTGTTAGGGTCATCAGTGTCACCACAATCTCATCAGCATAAGCGAAGCACAATCACCATCATTAACAAAAAAAAAAAATAAATAAATAAACAATTATCCCGTCAAACACGTTCCCAACCTGTCTACTTTGGACATGATGATATCCTGCGCCTGGCTGGCAGACGTCCTGGCCGAGAAATTGACGATGTTGACGATGAACTTGTCCTTCGGGAGATCCACCAGCAGGCTCGTGGTGGAGGCGCTCTTGCCCGTGCCCGAGGGACCCAGCACCAGCAGGGGAACATCATGGTCCAAGCAGGTCCTCAGGAAGAACTCAAGGCGCGCTGTCTCCGCCGTCGGGATCAGGAGCGTCGAGACCTGCGGAGACCCCAGACGGCTTGGATAGGGTAAAGGGTAAGGGGTTGGGTTGGGTTTCTTTATCGCAATAATGATGCTCATAGCTTGTTGTGATTGTCAACCAGAACTAGATAATTGTATTACACATGCAACAGGCCTTCATCCACAACCTCTTCTGCTACCGCAAGTAATGCAACCCGACCTCCTTCTCCTGCTATTAAACTAACACTAGTTTTATAATAGTCATTTCCTATGCCTATTAGCTACCATCTTTTGCTTCTCCTCCTCCTTCCATACTATAGCTATTGTACTATTATTTTTACTACCACTACTACTACTTTAACTATTACTAGTACAACTACTCAACTCCTCCTCCCCCTACTACTTTTAAACTACTGCAACTACTAATGATAACAATGAACATAAAATTGCTTGTTCCAAAATATCTACTTACATCCTTGGGTGATCGAAGAGGGACATCACATGCACGGTTTTAATTTGGAGCAGGAAATTGCATGCAAAAAGCGTGTCAAGATGGATCAGTGGCAATTTAGAGAGAAATGACAGTTGTTACAAAAAGCACAATAGATCAGTGTACATTACGAGTGCACGTTATATTTACCTTACAAGCGTACATATATATTCAAGCCAGATGTCTAAGTACAGTGTTTTTTCTCTTAGAAATTCAAAGGAAGCTCGTTAAGGAAAAAAATAATCAAACATTTATATCGATTCTCATAATCATTAAATGTCATTATGTTAAAAGCAATATTTTGAAATTCAGATTCATGCTTTTAAAATCATCATTAAAGAGAACATTCTAGAATATGGCCGTAGCATCTGGTCCTTAATGACATCACTCTACTCAAAACGTAAGTCTCTCACCACATAGGAATCATCACAAATCATAACAATTTAGTCATAGTCAAATAACAATTTTGTCATAGGTATGCTTAAGAAAAGAAAAAAAAAACCTAGGTCATCTCACAGCTTTTACCACAACATCATATCAGCCATACGAATGAGCAGAGCAAATCATCAGTCATCACATCAAAGTCATCATAACACCACCTTAACCATGCACATGCTCACCATAAAACCATAAACAGTCATCACATGCAGTCACCACAACGCTGCCTTACCCATACACATGCTCACTAAAAAAATAATTAACAGTCATCACACGGAAGTCATCACAACACTATCCCAACCACACGCGTCCTCATAAAAATCATTACTAACATACACACAGAAGTCTTAAAGGCTCCTTAGTTAAAAATCAATAAATTAACACAAAAAAGTCATTAAGCGTCCTCAAATGTAAAAAATATCATCATCAGTCATCACATGGAAATCATCACAACACCTACCTTAGCGTCGGGAGGAATAACGAGTCTCTCCTTATCAATGGTATCATACCAGGGCACCCAGCGCTGTGTCTCTCGCTCGTACAGATAGTCATACACGAGACCGCTCTCGGGGGGAAGCATCCTGTGTGGGGAGAGAGAGGGGGATATATATATATATATATATATATATATATATAGATAGATATATATAGAGAGAGAGAGAGAGAGAGAGAGAGAGAGAGAGAGAGAGAGAGAGAGATCATTCTTTATGGTGGTATTGCGAGCTGGTATTAATCAAGGAGTGGAACTGATGGTACTGATGAGGAGGTATGACAAGCTAGTATTAATCAGCATGTGGTATTGATAAAAAAAACAATCTGTGTTTTTTTGCGGTATGACAAACTGGTATTAAGCGATGAGAGGAATTCCTTTTTATTTCATGCTGGGATATTTGGCTTTATATAGTGTGTAACAATGTGGTTTTAAGAAAATAGTATTTGACAGCAATCTTCATACCGATTCCCACAACTAAAAATCCTTAAACAGACAACATAATATCACCTCATCTAACACCCTCCCATTCTTATTCTCACCCACACCTCCCCTCCCGGAATCGAATACATAACCCTCCCCCCCTCCACACACACACACACACACACACACACACACACACACACACATACACACACACACACACACATACACACACACACACACACATACACACACACACACACACACACACACACACACGAGACGAAGAACACATCCCAGCCGACTTCCCGAAGACAGGCCACTTACCCTTTCGTCAGCTTAAAGCACTCCGGCTTGGCGAAGCGATCGTAGCGGCC